TATATATATTTATATTTATATTTATATCTATACCTATAAAAAACAAATATATTATTTATTAATTTCATATAATAAGTGGAAAATTAACATTAATAAAAAATAAAATGAAAAAAATTTCTTCATGAAAACGGAGGATCGAAAATTTTATACTTTTTGAATCTCTAAATAAATTAAAACGGCTTCAAATGAGATGGGAATTTATAGTGAATATATATTGAATATTATATAATAAAAATAAATGTTCTTTTATTAAATTGTTTCTATTCGATTGGTTGAATACGATCGCCATCATGGAAACCTATCAAAACGTTTCAGAACACAAAAATTATATGTAAGGCGCTTAGAAGATGCGAGACGACCTACTTTTTGGATTTCATGTGATCTCTTGTATGCAATTTGCATTTGCAGTATATTATGATTATATGTACATTGCAATACCTCCAAATCTTATCAAAATGCACATTAATTTTGGCGGGAAATTCAAGTTTCTTACTTTCTGGGACGCGGTTAGTATCATGAAACAATGATTTATTCTTTTTTTACATATTATGAGATTATTCATTCAATTAATATTATATAATCACTTATGATTCTGTGAAGATATAAATTTAATTCAATTTGGAAAATTGGAAAATTGACAATAAAATTGACAAAGTTAATAATTATTGATTTTCTGAAAATCATACTAAAATTATAAAATATTAATTTTTAAAAGATGATTATATATATGATTATATATTTATATCTTATTTATCACATACATTATACATAAATATAAAATTTATAAAATGTATTTATAGCAATCAATAAATAAATTGATATATAAATTAAACTATTCATCATTCAGAACTTATGTGTCAAATAGATTAATCGATTTGTAGATTAATTATTCAAATATTTCTTTATCGATGATATTAAAATAAATGATTGCAATACAAAATTGACTTAAAATAAATTATTTTTTCAATAATTTTAATCAATAAATTTGAAAATATTAAATATTTTCAAATTTACTGCCGTAATCATTTATTGCCATCGGATAATTTTCTATATAAAGATATTCTACATTGATACTATATATTCTACATTGATATTATGAACTCGAAGAACAAAATTCAATTGTTCGAGCACCACTCCACATCATCTCGGAAGTACGGCACGTGTCATATTATATTATCCATGTATGGTCAAGTAACTATCATATTTATATCATATATTTGACATATTCACGCGAAAAAATTATTAATATTTCTTGATATAATTATTTTATACAATATATTTTCATTCGAAGTCTTTTTTAATTTATATATTTTAATTGTTAAGTAATGTATCATATGTTATTATATGCAAATCTGATTAATTGACTTAACACATTCATAAAAATTTATCTTGTTAAATAAAAATTGACATATATTAATAAAATCTTTCTGAAGAAATAAATTATTAAAAATTATACTATGTGCAATAATATAATATAATGTTTAAAAAATATATTATAATTTTCATCCAATGTTAAATATTCATTTTCATTATAATATGGCAAAATATACAATTTATTTATTTATTTTTGAAACAATTATATATATATAATTATAATTTTAAAGTAAATATTAATATTATCTGAAAATATATAAATAAATTATTTAAAAACTGCTACATACATTTATATTTATATTTAAAAACCATATATCTGAAAAATCACAATATATTATTTAATCGAAAAAAACGATATACCATTGCAGAGATAATATTATCCATCTATTTTATTTTCAACATTTCTACTTTTTATTTTCAACTATTCTAATTTCAACATTATCTTAGCAAAGAAGTTATTTCTGATTAATTTAATAACTAGATAAAATTGATGATTAGGTATTAAATTTAATTATTAGATATTTATATAAATCATCGTTAAATATTAAAAAATATGTTATATGTAATTTTCAAAATAAAATATTTATAAAATAGAATAATATATTCAAATTTTCTTATTAATTTTGTGCGATGATTTAATATAATTTATTTTTTCAGATTATTCAAGCAATATTTTTTTTTATATGTATGTTAAATGATTGGTTTGGTACAAATGCTATTAGTCCCAAAAAACCACCATTTATACGTAAATTAAAAGATCACATACATGCGATACTTAGTTTTCCAATTGCCATGGTAAGTGAAAGAAAAAAAAATTAAAAAAAAAGTTTAATATTTTATATATTTTACAATTTTCATGGATCATAGTTTGTTGGAGTGACATTCTGGGCTCTAATGTTTGTGGATCGTGAATTGGTGCTTCCAAAAGCTGTAGATCCTTACTTTCCATGGTGGTTAAATCATTTAATGCACACTATGATCATGATTACCATATTAGTAGAAACGATTTTAGTGCCACGTACATATCCAAAGAGATCGAATGGTCTCCTTGGTATAATAATATTCTTATTTATATATTTAGTTTGGTATGTTGAAAATATAGAAATTATAGAAACATATTATTTTAATATTTTTTTTTATTAATTATTTAATATACTAAGTATTTATTATGTAATGATATTATGAATTCAAATTCCAGGATATATATAATTTATTACAAAAGTGGTGTCTGGGTATATCCAGTATTGGAAGTGCTATCATTGCCATTACGAATTGTGTTTTTCAGTGCACTGATTACATTCAGTATAGGCTTGTATTTTATCGGCGAAAAAGTGGACAACTTGTTTTGGGGTAACGAATATATTAAACATGAAAAATCTTATGCCAAAAAAAAATAACTTTGCCCATGGGTGATAAGGTGTGCTGATTTCGATTATATATAATTAGCCTTCTCTAAGGTGATGGTGAATAAAACAAAAATTAATTTCTTTTCTCCCATCATTTCCCATTTACCTTATATTATGGCATGTATACATAACACGCTATTAAATAAATTTTCTCGAAAATTTTAATTAAAAAAAATATAATAATATAGTGTGCATGTGCAAAGAGAATTGCATTTATTATTTTTCAAAAGCAAAAAGCACAAAAAGAACATGATCGTTAATAATTTGATTACTGAAGAGGGTGATATAACTGAAGCATGTATAAGTACATAGATGTGATTTTTCTTCTGTATGGTTTATGTCATATATGATGAAAGAAAAAGGGCAAACTAATTGTCACTGTCATTGTACACATTCTGGTCTCTGATATTCATGGTGATACAAATTAAAAACTGGAAAAAAATGAAAAATGAAAAAACACGAATACATATGTATACACAATGCAATTATTACATTTTTGTATCTTCAACAAATTATGTTATGTTCTGACAACAAAGAAACCACTGATGGCTCTATTTGTATCGAGTATAGGAAAAAAACACATAGCAGAAGCTATCGGACCGGATTTCAAAGCATAATGAAGTTCATATTGAAGAATCGAGCAAGAGGAAAATATTTTTGTGAAACTAATTAAACCGAAAAATGATGAATATACATATATGTTCATGATTTGATATCGTCATAGGATCTCATACTAAAAAGAAGTGGTTGAAAATTCCATAATCACACTACGAAATTGAGTTGCAATATTTTTTATTTCACAAATAAAAATAACATAGATTCTAAATATAATACATATATACATTTTGTTAATATTTTCTGTTATGCTTTTAGATTAGAAATGAATTAAAAATAAAAATAAAATATTATTTTTAATAAATATTTAAAAGTTTTGTTTTAATTGATATTTTCTGGAATTTAGATTAGAATATCGAAAAATTTAAATTGTATACGGAAAATATCAATTATCACTCATAGAAAATTTTTTTATAACATTATTACACATAAGTAGTGAACATTAAAATAAATTTTCATAAAGATAATATAATCAGTTGCAATATTTAAATATTTAAAATGAAATATTTGTATTTAAAACAATTAGATATTTTTTAAAATATTTAAGTGACAAATTATGTTATTATAGAAATTTGTAAAATAGAGATAAAAATTGAAGAAATTATTAAATTTATAGCATTTATTAATATTATTAAATAAAAACGCATTTTATATAATTTGTGTATTTTTTTTTATTAATATTATATTTTAAATATTACATTAGAAATGTAAATACTAAATGATTTTTTAAATATTTTGCATGATATATCATAATATAATTTTTTAAAGACATTGGTAAAAAAATTAATAATATAAATTTAAAATAATAAAATAAATTGTACTTGAACATACGCTCGCGTATTATATTAAAAAATATTTATATGCAATTTAAGTACATTAGGATATGTATTTTTGAGAATACTGTAATAAAGCAATGTTAAAAAAAATTCAGATTTTTCTATATAAAAAATAAAATGGATCATATTTATGATATGTTTATGTCTTTAGTATTGAAAAAAGTTTTGAATTATTTTTTATTACATTGCAATTTTATCACTAATAAAATATATGTATTTATTTATTTACAATTGAAATCATGTCATTGCACTATTATAAATATACAGTCTATTACAAATATACAGAAAAAATCAAATTTGGTAATGTGGCAGTTATATGACTGATAAAAAAATATTTTATTTGTTTATATCTAATTTTGTATTAAGAGTTTTTTGAAAAGAAAAATTAGTGTTACGTAGTGATATTTTTGTTTTTATTCAACTGTGGTGAAATTTGCGTTCCTTTTGAACTGCAATTTCGACTATTGATAATCTCATCTATACTTTGTTTTAATTCTTCCATTTCTAAAATGTCTAATGGTAAAGATGTTTGTGTTGCTATTTCTCGAGCATTACCAGTCTGACCTTCAGATTGCATTAGTCTTGTTAATTCAGGACAACATGAAGTTAGACTAGATGCTAGATTACCTATTCCAGCTTTCCTGTATACTTCTTTTATTTCTGCATCGCTTTTCAATTTAATATCACTAGATTCCTGAAACAAATGTTTCAAGATGGTTTCATCTTGAAGCAGATATTTACTTTTACGGCCTTCTCTGCTCCGTCTATCACTTTCGTGACTATAACTTTTTGAACTTTTGTTACTAATTTTGCTCTTGCTACGTTCATGGGGTTCTTCAGGATCTAACATCTTTGCTTCTTCTTCTGGTTGACTATCATCACTATCACTATCTTGATCATCCTTCTCCATATTTCCACCTTCAATATCTACATCTTTTCTTGGCATTCCTTGATGCTGTTTCTCCTCACTACTTAAATTTTCATCACTACCACTTTGTCCTGGAAACAAAAACGGAAGCAACATCCCTGGATTTTTCCCATCAAACAGTTTAGAATTCAAAGCACGTTCATCTAAACCGGCACTAGCCGATCGTCTCTTCATATTAGGTACTTGAATAGGTGGTATTCTTGAATTACCACCTATAGTTAATGCTGACAATATCTGTGCACCAAGCTGACTTTCTTGTGATGTTGTACTGCCTCTTCTAAACAATGGACCTACTTTACTTGATCTTGATTTTCCAAAGTCTCGTCGCCGTTTTCCACGTCGACCGCGTGAACTGCTAGCAACTTTCCGTGTTGTCTTCAATTCAGCTATTTGAACTGATATTTGAGAGTCTAAAGAATTTCTCCTGGATTCTACAGATACTCGACGCACGCTGAAGCTAATTTCAGAATCTACAGAATTTCTTCTATTACTGGATACAGATCCCGTTGTACCACCAACGAGTGCACCTCTACGAGTAACTAATTTTGGTAAAGCAGCTGCCCATGTTGAACTGAAATCTTGAGAAGCTACGGAATTTAAATCGAAATTTAAGCCAACTGGATCTTCGTGAGTATTATGAAAACTAATAGATAATCGACCAGCATTATTAAATGTTTTCCGTTTTGCGAATGCTTGAGCAATTACTTTATGTTTTTTTAGTCTAATAGGTTCTTCAGTTTCACAATTAAATGTTCTAAAATATAAAAAATTATCGTATTATTTATTAAATATAAATTAATAAAAATGAAAAGATATTTAAAATTTTACCGTCTAAGAAATCTAGTCCAAGTATCTACTGTTGAACCAGTCCATACCCATGAAGACATAAGAATACCAGCAAAGAAGGGTGATAGTAAATGTAACTGCATTTTAGCTGCACTTGGTCGGATTTCCATTTTACATTCAGAGATATCCAAATATTTTGTAGTTATTGCACATCTATGAATAAAATATAAAATTTTAGATATGATATATTTATATATTTTTTTTTTTATGTATTCTTTTTCTTACATCATATAATTTCTAAAACTTTGATGCCATTCCGAAGAATGTTGAAATTCATAAATATGACAATAAAAAGTCACCACAACTGCAGCAAATGTAAAAATTGAAAACAATCCCATACGTACAATAGTTTCTCGTATTTTAGAACTTGCTCTTTCAGATATAATTTCTTGGCTACTGATTTTTAATCGAATCAAAGTAATTAATCCTAAAATTATTTATAATAATATTACTTAAATTGAATTTAAAAATTTTATTTTTTAATATTTATTTTTATTTAGAAAAAGTACTTACAAATCTTTAGGAAAGCATACAAAAAAATATATATATATTTTTATATATAAATTGCATATAATGAAAAGTTTAATTACAAACATATAAATTAAAAACATACCTCTGGATAAAAAATAGCCTCCAACCAGTAAAACAATCAACACAGGACCAAGTAAAAACCAAGCTCTGACTGCATGATTAGTGTAACCCACAAAACATATACCAGTAACACTATTTCCATCAATTTCTCCTAATCCCATAATTGTGACAGTGAGAACAAGTGGCAAACACCAAGCAATTAAATGAAAATATGAACCCTTTTTATCAATTCTATCTTGGATTTTGCCTAATGCTTGAAAGCTCATATGCCAAGCATACGTAAGAATCACAAACCAGACCATAGCTGCCATAAGGGAATAATACACAAGAACAAATACTACGACACATGATAAATTTTCTCCACTGAAAATATATTAGTATACAAAGTTTATAAGTTTATATCTAACTTGATATAATTTTAAATAAAACAATTTATTATATACAATAATTTACTATACACATTAAATAATCATCTACCTTGGTTCACTCATTCTTAAAGTTCCATCTTTTCTACATACAATTACTTCTCTACTTCCTGGTGTAAATTGAGCAAGCCATCCAATACAGGATACCATAAAACAACAATTGATATAAAATATTACTAAAGCTGGATATTTATTTGCACTTCTCCAATCAATTAAAAATGTTATCTAAAAATAAAATATAAATGATATGCAATATATTATATGCAATATATTATATATTATATTCTAAATTCTTTAATTTAAATAATTATTACTTACAATTGTAAATAAATTGAATGAACCACAGATTCCTGCAGCCCAAGCAATAAAAGAATGAATTTGTTTATGTTCATCTGGCGTAAAAAGTGGATCATTACATTGTAATCCACAACCTTCAACTCCTTCAAAAATAGCAAGGGTATTATCAGTTGGAACCAAAGGCTTTAAGCATTTGCTAGAAATATTAAATTTCAATTCTCTGATATCATTTTTACATAATCTAGGAAATAAATCTGTATTTTCACATTTAACAAAACTTGGCCATATTGTATGATTAAATACAATTCTACAAGGTCCTGAAACCATTTTACACATTTCTTGTGATGGTAAATCTACTGTGTCATTGATACATTTTGGCATAAATATTGAACACAAGAGAGGTTGAACAACTGCCCAACACTTTGGCACATGTCTTAATGTTTGTAATACATGTAATTTTTCCTATAAAATAAATACATAATATTTAATATATAATGAATAATCAATCATAAAAAAGTTTTTTCAATTATAAAAAGAAAATAAAAAAAACAGAAAATAATTT